GGTTTGGCCTTGGCCTTTGGGGCCTTGGCTATCACTGCCATGATGCACATTCTGCGACAATGAGAGAGGACTGGGAACCCTACAGGCTCATCGCTGTCGTCATCATCATCGTCATCTGCTGCTGCTTTGGCCTTGCCCTTTGCTTTGGGCTTCGCCTTTGGCGCCTTGTCTTGGCAGAGGTGAAGACCGGCAGAAGGCTTTCGCACAATGCAAGCAGGCTACAAAACGGATTTCGTTGGTAACTGCCTTCGCATCCCGCAACTGCCACAAAATAGTCACACGACCCCGTTCCAAAAGCAGTTGGCTCCCTCTTGCAGAAAAGGCACAGGCTCATCATCGCTATCATCATCGTCGTCATCATCATCCACAGCCGGCTTAGCCTTTGCTTTTGCCTTTACCTTGGGCGAAGCCTTCGGCGAAGCTTTGGCCTTCGGCACCTTGCTGGCTTCATTATGGAGCTTTTCAAACACTTTGTGAAAATCTGACTGCGGCTCAGACTGGTTCGCCGTCATCATCATCGTCATCGTCATCCTCTACCACGGGCTTCTTCTTGGCAGTCTTGGCTTTTGCCTTTGGTGCCTGCAGCATGGCCAGTTCCTCGCACCAAGACACTTCCCATCCAAAGATGAATCTGTGCCCCAGGGATCTCCACTCGATGATCATGCGATGAGCGAACTACGAGACCAGTTGGCTGCAGGGCACAGAACTGATTCGGCTGGCAGCCCCATTGACTGTAGCAAAATGCTGATTTGGGTTGCTGCCACTCAGAATCTTGCATATAAACAAAAAAACATAACTCGCAGTGTCTTGAAAGCATGTAGCTAGAATCTGGGCTCGTCACCGGCAGCTCTTCATCATCGTCGTCATCATCGTCATCAGCCGGCTTTGCCTTGGCCTGCAGTTCACTTGCTGGAAAGTGCAAGTATTGCATGTGAATAATTGGATTAAACTCTGCAAGCACATGGTCCCTGCTTCAACTCAGGAAGTCTATCGGGCATGATACTTCTGAATATTCAACTTCGATGCAGCCACCTTCTTCTCCAGGGCAGACAGCTTGGATTTGGCCATCTTCACAGCCTGGCAGATTGCCCGGCGGATTGCCCCGCTGCTTGCACAGGCCGTTTGCTTCTCGTCTTGGAAGCCTGCATGGACGACACGTCCTCTTCCTCTTCGGCTTTCGCCTTCTTCCCACCTGCAGCAAAGCCAATGAGCTGCAGATGCGCAGATGCGCAGATGCGAGCGTCTCCAAGTCACGCGCCGGCATCAGCTTGCGCTGTGGCCTTGCGCTTCCCATCCTTGCAACAAGCCACTTCGCCGAAAGCATTGCACGGCTCCACGGCTCAGCCCGGCCCAGCCCGGCCCAGCCCGGCCCAGCCTTGGTCTTCACCATACCTTGGGAAGAAGCGGAAGCATTGATGAGAGCCCTCAATGCAAGAGTGTAATCTCAAGCCTCTGGCTGCGTCCTGGTAGGCCAACCTGTGGGCGAGCCGTGTAAACTATCTGGAGCCAAAAGGGCAGCGAATCACATGCCTTGGAAGATGGACTAAAGACTCTCTAGAGATCGGGCAGAAATTGGGAATGTCCAGCTGGTGCAGAGCCAGCGGTGCAACCGGCACTTTTCTTCGCGAGTCCCCGAGTCACTGGTCATGCAGGACTGCAATGTGGCAGATCTAAGTCTGTCAAGGATCACATCACATGCGGCAGACCCTCACATTCACGGCCACAGTTGATCTTGACACTTTGTGCTTGGAAGCAGCTGCAACATGATGTCATACTCGTTTATGCCGCACTGGTAGGATGCAGGCCGACAACAGTGGAATCGCTTGGCTTTCGAGACCTTCGAATAGCTACTGATTCTCTTTCCAGAATCTGGCAAGCCTGAACGAGTGCTTCAACATGGATCTATTACATAGATCCACTGAAAAAAACAAGCGCGCCCCAAGCTCTGCGCTTGAAGACGCTGTAGGCGGGCTTACAGAGCTGCAAGAGGCTTTAAAGTGTTGGAGTTCTGAATTTTGGAAGCAGGCGCCGCGCCCCGGAAGTCATGAAGCAAAGAAGGGCATGTGGGGGGGAGACCTGGACCTGTCTTTGGCTGAGTCCACCCTATGGACCTCCCGTCCCATCTGCTCTGGCAACTCAAAATTTGACGTGGTGCTGGCCTGAGGCTTACCCTGAGCTTCTGTGGCGGCCTTGAGCTTCCCTAAGGAACAAGCTGAGCCTCCTGCCAACGTAGTCAGTCAGGAGAAGTCGCGTGGTGTCATCTGGCTGGAGGGAAGAAGCCCCTGTTCAAGGTAATGTTAGGTCTGCGGTGTCACCATGCTGTCGACTCATACCCTGGTTTACCATACCAGGGGGCACAAGTGCCAACTGTGCAACTGGCATCTTTGCACATTGTCCACATCATCGTGCATCGATGGTGCTGCGCGCGCTGCAGAGAGCTTGTCAACAGATCCGTAAAGTTCGCTAGACAAAGTCTTGTTCAAATTCATGCTCGCATGCCTTTGATGCCTTCAGCACTGGCCTCGTTGAGCAGTTCCAGATTCGGAGCCGTCTTCGGGGATACTGGGGGTTGGTATTGGAGCCACCAGCAGATTTTCACACTGCCAATCTTGGGCCAATAGAACATGCAGAAACACGTCTTGCTATGAAACGCATCATGCGTATCCAATCCTTGGCAACTTGGCTTCAGCCATGGACGGAGTCGCAAGACGAAAGATTTTGAGGACATGACTGACATGGCACATCCCTTGTCATAGGGGTTTGTCAGGTGGATACCAAGATACTGGCTTGGATTGTTGTCAGAGCCTCCAGATGCCCTTTGCAAGTCTTTTGCTCCCGGTATGCCTCTTTGGGCTGGTCTGAAGCTGAGTAGCCGAGTGGCCCCACACGACACCGACAGCTCAAAATCTCATCGCGTCACTTGGGGCTTCCGAGAGAAGCTTCAGCGAAGAGGAGGCAGAGCTGAACGCATACTTTCTGGACTTAGTTTGGATCTAAATTCGTCTCCCGTGAGATTCCTTGTTTTGAATCCGGATTGGGGAAGAAACTGAGCTGAGGAAAAGAGGTTGTGAACAAGGATTGGCTCAGTTTTCAAACTACAGCGGCTACAAGAGGTTTTGAGCGTGGCCCTGCTTGCGGGCTGCCTACGAGGAATTTCGGGAATTCTCATCATGAAGGCCCTGCCTCCTCTCCACCAAATTTGCGCGAATCACTTTTCAAGCTAAGGCTGGAGGGACGTCCGCCGGAGCCAATACTAACAGCCGCTTTCAAGCCGTGCTACATGACTAAATACTGCAACTAGGCAGTTCATGTCACTCGGTGTCCAGCCGCCCTTCTTCCGAAAGCGAGGGTTTGTCAACGTGCAACAAGAAAGGCAGCTGAAGTGGAGTGACATGACATGCAAACCGCCGCCAAAGCCAAAGGACTCTGCCCAGGCACAGCTAAGCTTTGGTGAGCTCTTTGACTGCCGAGGAAGATTGACGAAACGGCTGTTGCGAGAGCTCCCACGGCACCATAGACATGAAGGTCCTTGAAGCGTGTTATGGAAAGCTCGACTCGGCAAATAACTCCGATTTCTGAGATTCAGGTAATGTGAACCCAACGGTACAGCCAATGAGATTGCACACATAGGCATACTTATCAAAAAACAATTCGCATGAATCCCATGCAATCGGGGTTTAAGATGCTGCTCAGAAATCTGGAACTGAAGAGAGCTAAGGATACAAATTGTCGGGCGCCGGGACGGTGCGCTCGAAACCTGCCATGGGACATGGGATCCCGGGATGGTTCAAATGTTGAATAGCCTGCACAAGATACCCACTTGGATTTAGAGCTTCCAAAGCAGATTCAGACGCATGATCTCTACGCCATAAGCCCGGTCACACGGCACAGGAAAGACAAGACTCAAAGCGGAACATTTACCTGCCACAACAGAAAGGCTGCACGCCTCGGGTTGCCATCAACTCGTGTAGCTCCACTACGGTCATGGCTCGCAGATCCACCCTGTCCACCTCCGAAGCGAGGAAATCCAAGAGCTCGAGGGAATCCAAGGTTTCAACAGCAAAGGGTCTTCTTGGATACTGGCAGCCCACCACGAATCTTCTTCTGCCTCCTCAACACCTGCGAAGCACACCAGCGCCGGATCGACCCCCGTGATGTAGGTGATGGACAAGTCCTTGAAGCCTGGCAGAATCAGATCCTGATGCCGCATGATGTCACCGTGTCACCGTGTGCCTGCTTTAGCAGAACAGTGTCAGATAGCGGCCTAAATGATTACCAAGATTTTGGCTCCATATTCTTTGTATAATTATAGTATATGGTACCGTGTCAAGGCAGAACAGAAGAGTGTCAACAGTGTCACCGCTTGTCAGTGGGTCCCCCACCATCCATGTGCCCGGGAGACTCCACGAACTCCTTCACCTCACATACGTCTGTCCCTTTTCAACCAGCTCTCCAGCTAAACCCTTTTGCAAAAAGGAACTTGGAAACTACTCAGTAGCATAATTGGGGTTCTACAGGGGTTATATATATATATTGGGATAACGGAAAAGAAAATTGAAGCTACTATATTATCATGGGGTTATATGCGTCCGTGTTCCCACCCCCCCCATGATATCCCCCCACCAACCCCCCGCCCCCAATGCTTCAAAAGTGTCAACAGTCACCGGGATGAACCCCTCCGGCATCGCGATCCCTGTCACTGTCGTGACTTTTAGCCCCTCATGTTGCTGTCGCTGCTCAGAAGTACCAACAGTCACAGGGATTGGGGTGGTCCTCGTTGCTATCCTCGCAACTGTCATGTTCCCTGCCCCCCTTCTACAATTCTATAAAGAAACCTTTATTAACCATTTAGAAACAATCTTTACAAGATCTCCATAAAACTCTATCAAACCTTCAGAGCCCCTCTAGAAACCACTTCAAAAATCTCTTGAGACCTCTTAAATCGTTTAGAACTCCTCCACAAACATTATGAGTATAAACTTCATCTAAACCTCTCAATTACACCACCAAATCCAGACCACAGGGCCACAGGACCACAGGGAAAAAGGGGAGGGGGGTGGAGGTACAGGGGAGGGGGTTAATCTTATTTTATATCATTGACATCATGGACCATTTTGGGGGGGGTGGTGGATGCTGGCGCATGTAAAGGGGTTGTGTTATCCTTTCTGTTTTGCATGCAAAAGTTCACGGTGCCTTGCCTCAGGCAGCTTGTTCAACTTTCAGCTGCAAGCCTGGATCTCGCAGTGCTGATCCTTCCACCAGGAAATATTTGTGAGACCAAGCCTGGCCTGTTTCAAGACTTCTCGTGAAAAGATGAGCAGGTTTTAGACACCTTCAATTGGCCCCTGGGTGTTTCAGGTGGCGTCTCTTATGAATGTCCCCTTAGGCGGGAGAGAGAATGGCATCACTCGACGACATACACATTTGAAGCGCGTTGTGGTTTGTGTGAGAATAATATCTGATTGGCAGTCAGCCGGTCCGCTGCACGAACTTGCGCCCATACCAGAACCTGAGACTTCTGGGTTGCCTGCAACTTGCCTACCATGCATATGCACATAAATGTGTAGCCGGGGCAACCAAGGCTTCAGCAAGCGCCAACCTTCTCAACATACAAAACCTTCGCTGTCGCATGAACACGAATCGTACGCAACAGCAATCACAAACAGGGGGCAGTACATGGTCGTAGCAGCAGTACCTCCGCATAAAAGGCATGTAGAGCATCCTAACATAAATGATTTCCAACAACACTATCTGCGGCCTGGAAGATCCGCTTCCTCTTTCTCAAGAGGAGGGCTGGAGCGCGTGCGGTGGAACCAAATCTGCACAGAACGGAAACCAGATCATAACAAGCAATGCCATCAAGCACTAAAATTTGCGTGTCTGCCCTGGAGTTACATGTTTCATGAATCTCCAGACCCAAATGTTTGAGGCACAGATGTTCTTCTGTCTCAAGTGCTCTGTCAGCATAGTACCGTCAACGAAGCAAAAATCTAAGAAGAGTCAACAAATACAGTGAACGAGATGCACCTAATAGATTGACCTTTGCTACGCATTCGGGAAAAAACTACCTGATACTGTTGGAAGCCTGGGCACTGCACATTACGATTGGCAGGTCATAACATATCCCCACTACTCTGGTGAACCGCTACATTAGGCGCACGAACTGTCACAACGAATTCCGCTCGCACTTCTGTACGGTGCCAGAAACCGCTCTCAGATGTGGCTCCTCAGCCGCTCTCCGGTCATTTCTGTGCGGTTCCTCTAGATATGTATCCTCAGACGCTGTCGAGACATTTCTGCGCGTGCCAACCCACCGATTCGCTAGCAGCCCATCTAGCCCACAGTCCTGCGCGCCCAATTAAGCTGGCCCTCAACGAATTGCACAGCTGGCC